GTTATGTGATGTATGTGTATCGTGTATGGTATTGTTGTATGTGTATAGTGTACTGTGTAGTGACATGTTATAGTGTGTGTGTGTATGTGTGTGGTATGTGTGCTGTATGTGTGTGTGTGTGTATGTGTGTGTATGTGTGTGTTATGAGTGTGGTGTATGTGTGTTGTGTGTATGTGTGTGGTATGGTGTGCGCGTATGGTGTGTAATATGTGTATGTGTATGGTATGTGTTATGTTGTATGTGTGTATGTTGTGTGTATGTGGTGGTATGTGTATGTGTTATGTGTATGTATATGTGTGTGGTGTGTGTATGTGTTGTATTATGTGTTATGTGTATGTGTATGTGTATGTGTATGTTTTATGTTGTATGTGTATGTGTATGTGTGTGTATATGGTGTTATGTGTATTGTGTGGTATATGTGTGTGTATGTGCTATGTTATGTTGTCGTGTATGGTATGTGAATGTGTGTGTATGTGTGTGGTGTGTATGTGTGTGTGTGTAGTGTGATGTATGTGTGTGTGTCATGTGTGCGTCATGTGTATTGTGGTGTATGTTGTGTGTGTATTGTGTGTATGTGTTGTATTTGTGTGTGTTATGTGTGTGTGAATGTGTGTGTATGTGGTGTCGTGTATTGTTGCGTATGTGTATTGTGTTTGTGTATGTGATGTGTAGTGGTTATGGTGTGCTGTTATGTGTGTGTGTATGTGTGTGTGTTGTGTGATGTGTGTGTTTGTATGTGTGTGTACTGTGCGTGTAGTGTGTGTGTGTATGTGTACGTGTATGTGTATGTATATGTGTGTGTATCGTGTATGGTGCTGTATGTGTGTGTGTGTAGTGTGTGTGTGTTGTACGTGTATGTGTAATGTTGTCTGTGTAAATGTGTATGTGTATGTGTATCGTGTTATGTGCGTGTGTTATGTGTGCGTGTATGTGTTGTGTGTAGTGTGTGTGTTGCTGTGCTATGTGTGCGTGTTGTGTATGTGTGTGGGTTATGTGTATGTATGTGTATTGTATGTCATGTGTATGATGTATGTGTGTGGTATGTGTTATTGTGTATGTGTATGTGTTATTGTGTATGGTGTACTGCTGTGATGTGTATGTGTACTGTGTATGTATATGTGTATATGTTTGTGTAATGTGTTATGTTTATGATGTGTGTGTGGTATATGTGTGTATGGTGTGTGTGTAGTGTGTATGTGTGTATGTGTGTTAGTGTTGTTCGTGTGTATGTGTGTGTATGGTGTGTGTATTTGTGGTATGTGTTGTGGTATGTGTGTTGTGTGTATGTGTTGTATGTGTGTGTGTATGTGTAAGTGTGTGAATGTCATGTGTTATGTCATGTGTCATGTTATGTGTGATGTGTATGATCGTACTGTGTATGTGGTATGTGTATGTGTAATTGTGTATCTGTAGGCTGTAGTCGTATGTGTATGTGTATGATGTATGTGTATGTGTATGTGTATTGTACGTGGTAATGTGTGTGGTATGTGTTCGCTGTAGTGTGTGTGATGTGTGTGTGTTATGTGTGTGTGTATGTGTGGCGTGTGTGTATGTGTGTGTGTAGTGTGTGTGGTAGTGGTTGTGTATGTGTAATGTGTATGTGTATGTGTGTGTATGCTGTAGTGTATGTGTATGTGGTCTGTGTATGTGTATGTGCTATTGTGGTATGTGTATTGTGGTATGTGTATGTGTATGTGTATGTGCATGTGTGTGTGTATGTGTGTGTATGTGTGTGTGTGTGATGTTAGTGTATGTGTATGTGTATGTGTCTGTGTCATGCTGTATGTTGTAGGGTGTATGTTTATGTGTATGTTATGTGTATTGTTGTGATATGATGATGTGTGTATGTTGTGTGTATTGCTATGTTATGTGTATGTGTATGTGTATCTGTGTATGTGTAATGTGTATGTGGTGGGTATGTGTAATTTGTGATTGTATGTGTATGTGTATGGTGTGTGTGTATGGTGTTATGGTGTATGTTAGTGTATGTTGTATTGTATGTGTATGTGTATTGTATGTGTGTGTGCTATCGTGTGTGTATGTGTGTGTGTGATTATCTGTATGTGGTATTGTGTAGTGTTGTTGTATGTGTATGTTATTGTATGATGTGTTATGTGTATGTGTATGTGTATATGTTGTGTATAATGGTGTGTGGTATCGTGTGGTGGTATGTGTGTGTATTGGTGGTGTGTGTATGTGTGGTATGTGTGTGTGATGTGTGTGTGTATGTGTGTGTAGTGTGTGTGTATGGTGTATGTGTATGCTGTATGTGCATGTGTATGTGCATGTGTTGTGTAGTGTTGTGTATGTGTTGTGTATAGTGTATGTGTATGTGTATGTGAATGTGTATATGTGTGTAATGTGTGTGTGACTGTTGTGTATTTGTATGTGTATGTGTAGGTTATGTGTTTGGTATGGTGTATGTGTGATGTGTCTGTGTATGTGTATGTGTATGTGTGTGATGTATGTGTGGTATGTTGTGTGTGTGTATGTGTATCGTGTATGTGTAATGTGTCTGTGTATGGTGTATGTGTATCGTGTTATGTGGTATGTGTATGTGTATGTGTATTGTGTATATGTGTGTAATGTGTTGTGTATGTTGTGTATGTGTATGCTTATGTGTAGTGTAGGTATGTGTATTGTTATGTGTATGTGTGGTATGGTGTATGTATGTTGTGTATGTGTGTGTGTAGGTGTGCCGTGTGTGCTATGTGTGTTGTTGTGTTGTGATATGTGTGGTGTAATGTGTATGTGTAGTTTGTGATGTGTCTGTGTATGTGTATTGTGTATCGTGTATGTATGTTATGTGTAGTCGTATGTTATTTATGTGTATGTGATTCGTGTATCGTGCTGTGTGTAAGTGTGTGTGTATGGGTGTTGTGTATTGTTTGGTGATATGTGTATGTGTATGTGGTATCGTGTACTGTGTATTGTATGTGTATGTTATGTGTATGTGTTGTGGTAATGTTGTCATATGTGTGTGTGTATGTGTTGTGTATGTGTGTGTATTGTTGGGTATGTGTGGTGTATGTGTGTGTATTGTTGTTATGTGTGTGTATGTGTGTGTGTATGGTGTATGTGTCATGTGTATGTGGCATGTGTATTGCATTGTGTATGTGTATGTGTATGTTGTATTGTGTATGGTATATGTGTGTAATATGTGTGGTATGTGGTGGTGTATGCTGTATGTGTATGTGGTCTGTGTATGTGTATGTGTATGTGTATGTGTATGCTGTATGTGTGTGTATTGTATGTGTATGTGTATTGATTGTATTGTATGGATTGTGTATGTTATATGTGTATATGTGTATATGTGTATATTTATATGTGTATATTGTATATGTGTATATGGTGTATCTGTGTCTATGGTGTATATGGTTATAGATGTGTCATAATTGTGATCTGTGTATATGTGTATATGTGTATTGTGTATAGTGTGTACATATGTGTATTATGTGTATATGTGGTATATGTGGTATATGTGTACTATGTGTATATGTGTATATTGTTAATATGTGTATTATGTGTATAGTGTATATGTGTATATGTGTCATAGGTGAGTATGTGGTAATGTGATACCTGTTCTAATGTGTATAGCCTTGTATATGTGTATATGTGTATATGGTCTGATGTGTATATGTGTATATTGGTATATGTGTTATGTGTATATGTGTATAGGGTATAGTGTATCATGTGTATATGTGTATATGTGTATATGTGTATATGTGTTATGATGTGTATATGTGTATATGTTATATTGTATTGTGTTCTGGTGTATATGTGTTATTATGTGTATATGTGTATATTGTGTATATGTGTATATTGTGTATATGTGTATATGTGTAATATGTGTATATTGTATAATTGTGTTTTCGTATGTTATGTGTATGTTGTATGTGTATGTCGTGGTATGTGTAGTGTTGTGTATTGTATTGTGTGTGTGTGTGTGTGTGGTGTGGTTTTTTTTTTGTGTGTGTGTGTGTTGTGTGGTGTGTGTTGGGTGTGTGTGTGTGTGTCCGTGTGTGTCCGACCGACCGCTCACCAAAAGAGTACGATGGGCAACACTTTGTGATATTGATGTCATGAGATAAATCCACAGCGGCTATATAAACACCGATCGAGCACACCGTCTCATTCCACACGGTGCTGCCGTGGCAGCCGGATGAGGGGGGGAGGAGGGTGGAGAGGGGTAGAGGGAGGGAAGGGGGAAAGGAGAAAGGGAGAGAACATGGCGCTGCTGTGCGCTGGAGGGAAGGGGTATAAGGAGGTAAAACACATTCAATAGTGAGGTAGTTAACAGAGTACATGCTGCCGTTCCGTGGTTCCTCCCTACCCTGGGATGCGCGGAGCAAACCAGATAGTAGGATATTGCAAGCATCAAAGAAGAACATACTGTTGACAAATCTGGTTTTTAAGATGAACTAAATTAATTTTTTAATTGATCAACTTTTTAATTCAATAGTAATAATTATAATAATAATAACTAATTTCGATCAAAAACCAAGTGGGTCAATGACGCCACGTTCAGGAACAACTGCGAATCTCTAGAACAGTTAGTTTTACAGGTTTGGAGGTAAAACTCACCGTTTCCGGATCCACAACATTGCCTAAAGACTTCGACATCTTCCTGTTATTGTCATCAACACAAAATCCATGGACGAGGACCCTTTTATAGGGAAGAGCGTCCTGAACAATTACAGGGTTTATTTACCATTGCTGATACGAGAGTTTTGTAAATTCACCTGCACAGCTACAGATGTTAGCAGAAGCGACTGGAACCAGCCTCGAAACTGGTCCACTCCTTCAAGTACTGCATCGGTCGCATGCTAAGAATACTTCTTCTCAAATACTGACGAAACCACTATGTCAACTCTGTACCAAGCATCAGACATAAGCGATTGGAGCCCAGAGAGCAGTGTCAGCGTTAGACCCTGATTTTGTATTCGCGACGGGCACAGTTGTGGCAAATTGCGACTGAACGGGTGAAGCTGGCGGAATCGCTAGACATGAGGCATGTGGTTTACACGGCTAGTATGACCAGCTCCATTGCCTAAGCAGGCCTTCCATCGCTGCAGGGTCTTCCAGTCTTTAGAACCGATCTTGAACGCTAACTATAAGACGAAAACGCTGACATATAGGTAGCTCAGCCAGACATTGTGTATTAGTGCAAACCAGGCACTCATATGTCTTTTCGGTTTCCAATAAAAACCGGATGCGCGGCGCGTGCATGTTGTGAGTGAAAGAATTAATATTACCCTTTAACCAGCAAGGTCTTTCAGGACAGGCCCAACTTTCTTGAAATGGTTTTTTGCACGATGAAGGGGTACGAGCATACTATGTTCATTTTTTATAAACGGCCCTCTAAATACCAAAAAAGGGGCGGAAGCAGAGTCAACCCTGCATTGCGAAGTTTTCAACGGTCACGTTGCGCAGTTTTGCCCCATTAGACAAGTTCTCTCGCGCGAACATTCACACTCGCATGCTCGAGCCGTCTGTGTCTCTACCCATACCGCGTGCGTGTAGGATCTATCAACGTGCCGTTGCGAACTGCGCAACGTAGGGTTGACCCTGGGCGGAAGAAATATTGAAAAACTGCCGTTGATACTGCTTCATGAGGCTTCAACCGTACACTGAAAAAACACAAAGTCTGGAAAACGTGATGCGATTGCTCAAGCCATGAGCTGAAGAAAGCGCTATGGTTTCGTAAGCACTGTCTGCACACTCACTTGTGTGATGCTCCAGTGTTTTGTCCCAAAGTCATTCACTATTGATCAGTGTGAATGACCTAATTAACACATTGGCGACAATGTCGCTCGATGCCCGGCGACACCCCTTAAATTTTATTCCTCTGCGCATATTTCCAATTTCAAGCGGTGCTGTATTAACCCGGAAAACGTTGTCAAACTTGTAATGACCACGTTCTTTGAGCATCTTTCACAGTGAAAGTTTTATAGAACGGTTGCTTGGAAGTGCTTCTTCAGTGATAAGGTTGTTCCTTCTTGATGTAGAAAGCTGCCTTTCTATAGGCTATTAGCTAGCTCGATGATACAGCAAGTGGCAAAAAAGAGATTCGCGTTCAACCTCATTTGTGGATTCTACAGTGGAAAATTGGAATTTTCCGAGAGTGTTCCGAAGCTTCACCTTTGCAGGACGGGGACATTTTTGCTTGGTTTGCAGCCACTAAGCATTTGTACGAGACAAATGGTGTTTCAGCAGTTTCCGCATTGTGTTCTCATTGATTTGGTATGTACACCGTATGGAAGCGTTTCAGGATTAGGACGCAATTTTTGGGAACACCCAAAAACTGCTTGGTCGCCAGTGTGTTAATGGCAGAATTCTCCAAAGGTTAGCGCATTGAAAACAAGGCTAGAGGCGGTCATTGCAACACGGATGAAGAAGAAACCATGTGAAACGGCCCAAAACCCAAGAAATGAACCCCTTCCTTGCTCGCTGATTTGTGTGTTGAGGCGACTCTCATCGTTGTTGCCGTCTTCAACATCAAGCGGCGAGTTATTATTCAGTGGTCGTTACGCGCCGACTGAGCCAAAGGGATGGCCCATGTTAGATCGTCGGGGCATATCCTTCGATGCCAGTTGTGTGTTGGTCTGCACCCTTACGATTAGGGGTCCGCCTGTCTCTCAACTAGACAAACTACTCCCTCTTCGACCTTCGTTCTCATCCTGGGAACCTCCTTTAATATGAGTTCTTAAACAATTGAAGGAAAAATGTTGTAGCGCCGAAATGATGCCAAATGGCGCTGGCACCCAAAAAGGATGCAATATCCGTGATAGGCATTGAATTACCCCTATACTCAAACTTTCGAGTGAAAGTAGATCTTGTCGTAATTTCGGACAATTCGACCAGTCATAGATAAATGTAACTATTCCATTGTCCCCGGAAGGCTTGGAGAGAGCTTGAGGGAGACAAAAATTAGGGGTACGTCCTAGTGATCAACATGAAAGCGGAGGTTCTCCTATGCAGAGCAAGTCTCCCACTATCTTGCATTCTTTGCAGCGAATCCAGTGCTGGCAGCAGGCCCAGCAGCAGCATGGCTAGGAACTTAAAGACAGAATCCAGGCAGAGATCGTGTGAACGCCTTCCTTCGTTCTGTAACATAGAACCCTAGAGGGCAATCACAAATGCGGCGTTCTCGTGCACGGAAACCAACCGATAAGAGCGTATGGGCCTTGTAAAACAAGCTGCCCAAGCAGCAGGCTTTTTTCTCTTATTAGACTGTTGTCTGGCGATCTCTCATTTGTAGCGCTCTCTCGTCCCATACTCTCCTTTCCGCGCTCAGTCTCTCATTCCCTTAGCACAGCCGATTAGAAATGTGAGTGAGCCCCTAACCTAAGCGTTTTTTACGGATTCTTTTCCTTTTTCTCTATTGCCGGCCCTTTTCCCACCAATACATTCGCATTTGTGTACAAGGGCCACACCAATGTGATCGTGGGGCATGTCTTTAACCTGTCACTGTTCGACGATGAGGACAATAGCGACAAAGTCATTGTACGTGACCTCTAGGAGGTCACCAGCTTAGATGTCTGCCATTGCCAACTATGGCAAGGATATCTCGTGTGTACAATGACAGGAGATCATCTGCAAATCATCTACAGGTGAGCCTGATGTAAAACTATTTTACTCTTATCCAAATGTACGAATTTGGGCCGAAATCTTAATTCCCTTTGAAATTTGGGTATAAGGGTTATTGAGTGTCCTTACTACGACAATGTTATTCGTTTTTGGCGTGCGCGTCATCTGACACATCACAATGGCGCTCCAGGGTACCACTTCGGCGCCATTTTGGTATCGCAACTTTCTTCACCAGTCGAGAAAGCTGGGCATGTCCTGAAAGATCTTTCTCGTAAGTGGCTTCCAGTAGTGATTAATCATTTCCATTCTGTGACGCACCACGGATTTTACCACCACAGAGCTGTGCTGGCACTAAAATGTGGTTCAACCCGTATTATGAACTTCAGGACCAGCCGATGCATAATTCAGTGTTTTCCTCTTCCGAGACGACTGACCCCAAAGAGCTGGATGCCCTGGTGGATTTGGAGGAGATTCAATCCGAGTTTGGCCACTGGACCGTGCCCGTGGTAAGTAGTGTCACTCGCCACTACACCGTACTAAGAACTGAATTTTTCAAAATATTTAAAAAAAATACACATATATGGAATATTTACAGTAGCGTCAGCGTCATCGTATGCTTTTCTGGCACAATGCCACGCAACTCCACTGTCCATCCATACATCCATTATATCTGTACCTTTTGACAGGCCCTCAGCCGACGAAAGGTTGAGGGACTTCAACACCTGAAAAGACGCATTATGAGAGAGCATAGAAAAGATAAAAATTTGAGTTTCCAGAAAGCTGATGTAAAAAATTTTGAAATAACAAAAAACAAACCTCCTTTGTCAACAAATCCTCAAGCGAACATGTCCACCAGATGTCAGGCCCGTACTGGTCAACAAAATCGGCCACAAGTTCCACCAATTCTTCGGAAATATACGCCACTTCTAAACAGCTTTTTTGTCTTAATTTGTCAACACTACCATAACTGCCAGCGTTACTCATTAGACGCCTTGGCAATGGTATGGATAATTCGCCTGCAAACATAGCCTTCTTTCAATCGGAGTCAACCGTGGGTTGTTCCAAATTTGTAAACTTTCCATGATCCCCTCTTAAGATGTTTCTCGGTATGATCATCAGTTACCGCCAGCCTCCCTTATGCCACCTCCCACCATCAGCCATCGCTAAGGGAAGGGGAGGGGGGGGGGGGAAGGAGGTGCCTAACATGGCTAAAAAAACGGCAAATGCTATAATTCCCTCTACTTCACGCTCCACTTCTCGTTATTCACTGGAGCACACCTTCAAAACTTCCACTTCCAGTGCCCCCTTGGAAAAACTTGAATAAGACTTAAGAAACCGAAATACGACCCCCGTTGGCAATTGCGCAACAGAGAGAATTGACTCTGCTTGCAATCAGCTGGGTATTGTGCACATAACAATGACTTACAAAGTTATCTAGGCCTCAATCTCTTACCGTTTCCATCTATAAGAGCTGGAATGGGCGTTCCCCAGACGCGTTGGCGTGAGATACACCATGATGGTCGGGATGACACCATTCGGCGCAACGTATTTGACAGATCTGAAGAATAGCACCATCAAACAGTTACTGAGCAAAACAAAAGATAACGAATGTTGGAGCTTAGTAAGAGCAAAAGTCTGGAACCGGGACTACCCTTCCGCTTGAAAAGGTTAGGCAAAAGGAGAGGTCGAACTATGTGAAGCTAGAAGCATCCCCCGTGTGTTCCTCAAGTACTTGAAAGAGTTGAAAATGAAATGTACCAGGCCGATTTTCCCAGACAGGATAGCATTCAGATTTCATTCAGAAGTCTCACGATAAAACGTTTTTGTATGCCTCGGTGTTAAACGAACAGAGATTTGATCCCCGCACCACCTCTCCCTAACGTCCAGCTGTACCGGTCACTTCCCATGCGAAGTCAGCAGAGTGTAAGACAAACTGACCAGAATCTTCGCTACCAATCTTGATTCCTTCAGCCAGCTCGGCGGCACGCTTTCCAATTGATGATACGTCGAAGAACCACTGCGCACTACTTCGGATAATAACGGGCTGAAATTCAGAGGAATTGAAGAGCCTTGTGGAAAACCTTTAGAGCACCCTTTTCAAGCGGAAGGTAGTCCGGTTCCAGACTTTTGCTCTTAAAGCTCCAACATTCGTTATCTATTGTTTTTTTGCTCGTAACTGTGCTAGGTGCTATTCTTCAGATCTGTCAAATACGTTGCG